CTTTGGCCAAGGAAACTGCGGGTCCACTGTGAACAAGCCAGTGGGAACTCCTAACTGAAGATGCAAAGGAGGCACAGGTATTCAACAGCTACTTTGCCTCAGCCTTCACACAAAAATTAAGCTGTCAGACATCTGATAGGGATTATTTGGATAAGGAAGGGGGAAAGACGAGGGAGGAAATAAGAGAGACATACAGGGCTTGTCTACACGTGACCTTTTTAAGCAGGGTTAGCCTAAAATCATCATGTTTAGGGCACATTTAGGGTGCGTGTCCACATGTGCACACCCTTAATGTGCCTTAAAAATAGCAATTTTAGGCTAATCCCGCCTAAATTGGATACCTGCTTAAAGCAAGTACTAAATTTAAGCTGGCACAGCTAAATTGCATTAGCCCATGTGTAGACACACTTAATGCGCATTTATGTGGTGTGCGTCAATGGACTTACGCTGCATTAATGCTCATTAGCGTGGCTACATGTGCACTAACACAATTTAGCTATGCCAGCCTAAATTTAATGTGCCTTAATGAGCATTAGCACGTCTGTGTGTAGACGTGTGCCTAAATCACCTTAATGTGCCTTAAACAAAGGTGCATTAAGTTTAGGTGCATGTAACTACATGTGTAGATGTGCCTTCAGAGAGCTTTTCATAGAATCATAAAAAAATGAGGGTGGGAAGGGACCTCAGGAGGTCACATCTAGTCCAACCCCTGCTCAAGGTGGATCATCCCAGCCAAAGCTTTGTCTGGCCAGGTCTTAAAAACCTCCAAGGATGGAGATTTTGTTGGGTCTGAATGAATTCAAGTCAGCAGGACTGGATGAAGTTCATCCCAGGGTCCTGAACGAACTGGCAGAGGACATCTCGGAGCCCTTGGCAAGGATCTTCATGAAGTTGTGGGAGATAAGCCAGGTACCAGAGGACTGGAAAAGGGCCAATATAGTGCCCCTCTTTAAAAGGCAAGGATTATCAACCACTTAGCCTCATGTCAAACATGGAAAGTTACTGAAACATATCCTAAGAAACGCCATTGGCAAGCATCTGGAGGATGAAAGGCTGGTTGCAAGCAGCCAGCATGGATTTATGGAAAACAAATCATGTCAAACAAACTTGATCTCCTCTGACAAAGTAACTGCTTGGGTGGATGAAGGCAATGCTGCAGATATGGTGCATCTTTTGACAATGTCCCGTACAACCTTTTCATAAACAAATTGGAGAAGTGTGGGCTGAATAAAACTACTATTCGGTGGATAGATAACTAGCTCAATAGCCAAAAGCAAAGGATAATTATTAGAGCTCATGTCTGAAAGGCAGGAGGTTTTCACTAGAGTCCCACAGGGGTCGGTCCTGGGCTCATTGCTGCTCAAAGTGTTTATTAATGATTTGGATGCTAGCAGAGAAAACTTCTTGAGCAAGTTTGCCGATGACAGGAGACTGGGAAGGATTGCAAACACGTTGGAGGATGTGAGCTCAATTCAGAAGCATCTCAACAGATTGGAAAGCTGGGCTAGAGCTAGTAAGATGAAGTTCAATGCAGATAAATGCAAGGTGCCGCACCCCAGGAGGAATAATCAAAAACACAAATATAAAATGGGAGACACCAGGCTGGATGGCAGCACTATGGAAAAGGACCTGGGAGTCTTGACAGATCACGGGCTCAGTAGGAGTGCGGTGTGATGCAGCCGCACAAAAGGCGAATGAAGTTTGGGGATGCAGCTACAGAAGCATTAGGTGCAAGACTTGGGAGGCGATAGCACCTATCTACTCAGCACTGGCTGGGCCTCACCTAAAGCACTATGTGCAGTTCTGGGCCTTCCTTTTAAAAAAGTTCTGGAAAAATTAGAGCGGGTCCAGAGGCAGGCAACAAAGATGATAAAGGGCTTGGAAAGCAAGTCATAGGAAGAGAGGATGAAGGAAGTAGGCACATTCAGCTTACAGAAAAGGTGCTTAAGAGGGGGCATGATGGCAGTCTTCAAATACTTGAAGGGCTGCTATAAAGAAGAAGGAAAGCACCTTTGCCCTTTTGCAGGACCAATGGCTTGAAGTTGCAGCAAAGTAAGTTGAGATTGGATATTTGGAAAACACGTCCTCACTGTTAGAGCAGTAAGAGAGGGGAATAGACATCTTGGGAAGATGTGGACTCTCCGGGGTTAGACAGTCACTGGTCAGGGATGATCTAGGCATCTCTATGTCTATGTTCGCCCATGGGTATTTCCCATGCTCCTGGGATTTGCTAATTGCCTCCCCACCCCCTGCCCTGTGCCCCCTTTCTGCTTCACAGACTTCACAGATTTCATAGACATTAGGGCTGGAAGGGACCGCGGGAGATCATTCAGCCCAGCCCCCCGCCCGAGGGCAGGAAGTCAGCTGGGGTCATAGGATCCCAGCAAGATAAGTGTCCAAACGCTTCTTAAAGGAGTCCAGAGTAGGTGCCTGCATCACCTCTGGCGGCAGTCTGTTCCAGGCCTTGGGGGCTCGGGCAGTAAAGAAGGTTTTCCTTATGTCCAGCCTAAAACAGTCTTGGAGGAGTTTGTGACCATTGGTCCTTGTCACCCCTTGGTGAACAGATGTTCCCCCAGACCCTGATGCACACCCCGATGTATTTATAAGCAGCCACCAAGTCACCCCTGAGCCTGTGCTTTTCCAGGCTGAAGAGTTTCATGGCTCCATGTGTCAGCGTGTTTTTAAACCATACTCAGGGGCATTGGATGTTGGCTGCAGCCAAGGCTGAGGATTTTGACTGGGCTGTGCCAATGCTTCTGCTGGAACCAACGGCCAGAGGGTCTTTTCCCTCCACTCAGGGTCAAATGATCACAATATCCGAGGTCAGGAAGGAATTTTACTCCACAGTCAGCTTGATATCAACGGGGGCAGGTGCCTTACTCTGTCGCAGGGGACATGGCCCTCTACTCAGGACCTCTCGAGCATACATTGTCAACATTTCATAGTAGCAGGACAGGGGCTGCTGTGGTTCCCCTGCTTCACCTCTGGCAGGCTTGGGCCTCAGGCCTGTATTGTGTCAAAGTTGATAGGAGTTGTATGTAGAGTTTAGATTATGGTTTGTAAACTTCCTTTTAGCCATATCTAAACAGCACATGTGTTAAGCAGTTCTGAAAAAGACCCATTCCTTCCTTGTAGGGTTTGTGGGCAGAACAGATGTGGGCATGCAGTGAAATGACAGGGAGAGCAAGATCTCCAGAACGGACTAGGGGACTTTGACGCATTCAAGTGGCTAAACCCCCCTGCCCCAAAGCCTCCCTTTTCCACCCGGCAGTGTTGCTTAGTGGATCTGACACTGCCGTGGGAATCAGGAGACCTCAGTTATATTCTGTCTCACCTCTATTGCTGGCCACCTGGGCGATCTTAGGCGAGTCGCTGTCCGGCTCAGTGCCTCACTTTCCCCGGCTGCAAAATACAGATAACAATACCGACTCTCTTGGTGTAGTACTTGAAGAGCCACTGGTGAGAAGTGTTACATAGGAGCTAGAGTACTGATGAGTGCACAATACTACCTTTTTAGGCAATACGATGAATTCATTACTGCAATGAGCTTGCAAGTGGAATTGTTCCCTTGAAGGAAGCTGCTTCCAGTGTCACAAAGGGAGTCAGACCGTTGGCACCTTTTACAATGTAGATATATCTATTTTTAGTTTGCCTGCTCATTCCAGTAGAGCTATTTTAATAGTTAACCAAACTTACATAATTTTCTGTTCATTGTGCCAAGGTTCAGGCTAAAGATTGTGTGACCTTAAGTCAATCCTTTTAAGAATGATTTAGTGAGGGTTTTCCCTCTTCATTCAATTAGATAAATTGTCTCCTTTGCAGTTTTTGCTTCCTTTTTTCAAAATGCTGGAAGCTCCCAGCAAGACTGAGGTCCTGGTTGTGGTGGCTGGCTGTGCCTGGTCGGGTGGTACTCCTTTTCAGATCATTTCATATCAACAAGCTGCTACTGTAGGACTACAAGCTGTAAACGGCTCAGCTCCAAGGACTTCCTGAAGTCATATGTTGCACCCACTTGCTCTGAATTACAGCAGCACTGCAACAACAGAACTGATAGATAGCACAGCCCTTATTTTGCTGATCGGTAATGGCCTTTTGCAGTCCTGATCGATAAACCCGCTGAACTGTGCTCGCTTGGTCTGCACCTCCTAGTCATCAGCTAACGAACAGTCAACAGACCCAAAGAAGAACACTGCCGTCTCCAGAGCCCCTAATCCACCAGTTCCCAAAGCTTCTCATTTGGAAGAAGTCCTTCCTAAGAGACTAAATAGAAAAGGAGAACAACAACATAGCTGGCATGTTTCCAAGCTGGCGACAGCGCCTGCTTCGTCGCCACTTTATGCTGTAAATGCTTCTCTCAAAACAGAAGACCCCAAACTCAGGGAGAAGCCTCCATTGGCAGCACTAGGTTTTCTCACCCTCCACAAAGGTGAATCATTTAAGCTTGTGCAAGCCACTGAGCTGGCACTGATGAGGTTTTAATGAAGACCGAGAAGTGCATTAGCCTATGCCATGATAAAGAGAAGCAGTCAAAGGGTTTACTCCAGCTCACTGTGCTCCTTATCTCCACTGGGAAGACAAGGTGATCAAGTGGCCTGGATACCTGGACGCCGGGACCGAGGAGCAAAATTTTAGCTGACGCTCGGAGAAGAGCACAGATTCTGTGACGCCAAATTATTTAGCAAATCCCCCTCCATTTCACTGACTTTTTCAAGAAAAGAGTTTGGCAGAGTGCAAAAAGCTTCCATAATGTCCCCTTTCACTCGAGAAAGATGCCTTTAAAATGCCCCCAGTTAAAGTACACATCTTGGCTGGACCTGAAATGAAATAGTTTTATTTTGTTTTCAATTTCCTGAACATTTTGAAAAATGATCATTCAAGTACAGGCATCCCCCCCCCCCC